CGACAGGAAAAACTGATTCAGACATTTATTTATGCGCACCAATAAACGAACAAAAGCCAATCAATGAACCTATTCATAAAATTAAAGGAACGGACGCATGAATCACATGTGTCTTACTCGAAAACTGTTCGTTTCCACTGCGTAAACACTTGTGTAAAATATATTGTCATCCCTTTCGTTCTCCTTGAAATAAACAGAGACATAAGATAGTTATAAAAAGCATAGATAATGAAGACCAAGATGGCCGCCCGCATGACGCCAGTTTTTTGACAAACGACCTAAATAAACAGTAGTTTACACGTAATAAATGAAAGTGACAGAAAACAATATTTTATAAACTGATATTTTATCCAGCAAATTTTAAATCTAGCCTTTATCTATATACTTGTAAGTATATAAATATGTAGTCAAAGTATTTTACCATTTTGTTTGAACATAAATTCCATATGCGTATGGCCTTTGGTAATAAAAAAATGCGGTAAAATTAAAAAAAAAACTTTCTTTAGCCTTATCATTGCAGATGTTCTTTGGATTATTTTAACATACACAGGATCGTTTCAAGTTAAACAAAAGCTATATTAACAAAACAATTTGTGAATAATTCAGAAATTAAATTACCCTTGGCACAGATTTAAAAAAGACTGGACGGCAACCGTTTATCATTCACGCGCCTTTTAGTATTTTTTTTAATTCTACGTATTGAAGAGCGACGCGCCGTGAACTATGCTAGGTTCCTTTGTCGGGATTGTAAAATTAAATTTTTAAATGGGATGCTATAATTATTTTAATTTCAAGGTTTTCAAGGTCAAATTTTAGGAATAGAATAAAAAAATATTTAAACAATAAGTAATTATTAAGACGTCATGATTAATGATAAATGCTAATGAAATTGACGTCTAGTGTTTTAAATATTCATAAGTTAGTGTGCATATAATAAGCATTTATTTTTTTATGAGTCAAGAAAGGACGTCGAGATCTCGTCGGGCACAGGAAGGTTCCAATTTGCATCCCGGCGTTACAATCGAAGGATGCTTCTGTGGCATTTACGCTCGAACACTTTTAATTCATGGCCGCACCATACGCCCGTTGAATACATATCGTTTCTCATAAACATATTACAATTGTTCTCAAATCTGAATACATCTATTGTTTTAAAGTATATACCTACTTTTATCGATAAATTCTGATGAGATTTTTACATTGTATTCAAGCATTTTTTTTTCTTACAAGTACAAAGGTTTGCTTCTACGTGATACTGCACCTTACTCTGAAAGATCTGTCTCGTTTGATTTAATAATAGAATTTTTAGTAATGTATACTTAGAAAAAATATTACTTCAATCTTATTTCATTTCAGGCTTGCGCAGGCTTAATATAAGACTATACCAAAAGTAATAAAAATCCAAGCAATCATTCTATACGAGACCAAAATGGAGTGCATTCAAAACTTCAAAGGAATATAAACCGTGGAGACCTTTTAAAAATATTGAACAATTACCGGATCGGGCTTTCACCGTATACGACAGCCGGAGAACTTTCTGAGCCGGATCGACTTCGACCAACTTCATTAAGGGCGGAATTCCTTGGAACTGGTTCCGTCAGTTCCTATGTCGAGTGTAATTGGGGGAGGAGCGTGTTGAACTTTGTCGTGGCCGGAACTCGAGATGAGATGAAGACATGAACGTCATATTAAGCTCGTTACGTTTAATATGATATACCAACTTAAATACACTGATTTTTCAATCATCAATCAAATAAGATATTCCTATGATAGTGAATTTTGCTGCGGCTCAACTAGTTGCAACCAAAATTAATCGTGAAGTTATAGTTTATTCATTGCATATAAGTACAAAGTCTAAAAACGTTCACCACAAGTGGTGTATTAAAAGCTTTGCTGTATTAACGAACACGAAACTGAACAGAAATAGCTTTTAAAGACATCGAGTTTGCATATCAAAATACGTGGAATATATTATGCGGGTCCCCGGCATGAGTCATCGGTCAAAAATGCAAGTCGAGAGCGATACGAGACCGGTCGGTCGACTAGCGAATAAGTATATTGTTCATTCAATTACAAATTAAAAGAGAGTAATATATGTAATGAGATTTTTCGAGCGCACTCGACGGTTCGCAAGCGAAGTGGGGCTGACATGCAAATCTGCCACTCGTGTGCAAATGTGACGAGCGGGCGGGGCGGAGCGCGGGGCGCGGAGGGGCTCGGCATTCCTAGCCGGTGGCGGGGGGCGGTCATCGACCGTCCTCCGGTACAACTACGCAGCCGCATAAGGTCAATACAGGCTGCCGAGGTGCCGCGGTGCCGAGCGACCGGTCCCTCGATACCGTATCGTTACATTGTTCCATTGACGGTTGTGCACCGCTGCAAAAATCAATTTCGCATCCGCCACGAGAAATCTAATTTGCAGCTTGCGTAAGAGAAGATATATTCGCAACGTGATTGCCAGTTAGCCGTCCTAGGGGGACGTGGCACGGATTCGTTTAATGGGACATTTATAAACGATCTCACATAAATAAAGATGGAGATAAATAATTTTATGACTTACTGTACTTGGCATTTTATAATTGAAAGAAATAAATTTCGCAGTGGCTTAAATCACATTTAATTTTTAGGTATATATATACCATATTTTACTTTATACCATTCCTTGTCCAAGTTCTTTTTGTTTGTAATTCCAACAACTTACTTATAATTCAAAACAAATATTATCGCCAGACCGCAAGTCCGACATTCGGCCTACAAGCTGTCGCAGTCACTAATTCTCATTAAAATACATACAAAAGCGATATGAGTAACAAAAATATACAAAATGAACACGTCGCAACTCGATTCTGTATATTTTTATTGGACTTTATTACGGGCACTGACTAACCACGTGTATCGTCACCCGATGACTCAGGTTCGATATCACACAAGTAAACAGGTATTCTGTGTAGATAAGGTTCCAGCAAAGTTAGGGCTAGTTCACACGCTCGTTTTATCAACATAATTAGAATACATTACGGTACTAATTCTAATCGATATTGCAGTCATAACCTAAGTTCTTATTCAACACACAACTACCTTCTCCGCAACCTTCCTAGGCACTATGAAGGAAAAAGAAGAGAGAATGTTGGAATACCCAGGAATTAGGACTTACAACCTATTTTATTGGGTTACTGTTAATTTTAAACCATACTTTATACTCTTTTATCTCGTGGTACTTACCGAAGCAATCCTATAAGTGGTGTACCTAAGAAATTTGAGACAATCATTCTGTCTCGTAATGATGATGACGACCTAGAGAAATCGAACCTAACTCCTATAAGATGTATCATGTTGCTGGGAAGACAGAATAAAACTGTATTATTTAAATCTGATTTGTAATAAATAATCCACTAAATTCAATAGCATGTAAATAAATATAATAAGATGGTATGTATTTTCCAGTCCTAATTTTTGCTAAGCAATTCTATGCTGGAAATCCTATGTCCAAAAAAAATAAAAACTGGAGTCTTTAAAAGATAGGCATTACTTTACAGTTACAATCATTTTTAACCGGTATTATTCAAATTCTAGTTTTAATTTATCAAAGAAATGAGTCACAACTTACATTGCATACAAAAAATTAAACATTCATAACAGAATCAGACCGTACGTTATAGCAGCGCAAGGTGATTTCTTCCAAGGCCTTTGTACTTAGATGATTAAGTAAACTACAAACTTACCTTGTTGTGCAGCCTTCGATGACTTCACTAAGTCTACATATTGAAAGTTCCAAAATCTTAAACGTATAATTAAAGTGTTTGGTGTCACTTGCCATGAATTAAAATCTGCAGCTCCGACAAGTCTCTTTTAGGTAAAGAACCAAATAAAATACAGCAGTTCTCGTCTGTTACATCTAACTAATATTATAAATGAGAGTTTAGATTGATAGATGTTTGTTAGAAGGTATCTCCAAAACGGCTCGACGGATCTTGACGAAAATTAGCACAGATGTAGAACAGTCTGTACACATAGGCTACTAATCAAGCTTTGTTTAATTCTATCTCTTTGATAAATGTCATATTTTTACAATTTTCAGTATTTTAGTTGTAGTGTTACTAAATGTGTCAATTATGTTAATTTATTTTACAAAAATTTCAAAACACTTTTGAATAATTAAATTTAAATTATAGTTGAAATAAACAGTATCATTGTCCGGTAGTGGAATTTTAAAACCTAAGTGCTATTTCTATTGTATAGAATGAAGTCCTAATTCCACTAGCGCTTGAAACTGACAGTCCTGCGGGGTCAGTGGCTAAGTGAAAATAGGCACTAATTAGCGAATTGTTTTTCAGTGTTACTCTTTAGTAGAATTGTTTAACCTTTTCACAGCCAAAGTAAATATATCAATTTTAATCAAACCGATAATTAATCCTAATTATCATGTAGTTCTCTTTGCCTAATCTATAGCTTAATAAATTGAGAGCTCGGACGGCACATAATTATAGGCAATTATTATATTTAAGTAAATTTTAGAATTAAGTAATTAATTTAAATGCATACAATTTAAGGCTATTGTATGATTGTAAATATTGAAATACTATAGACTGAATAAATTATGTTTGCCTGAAAACCATTATGTATTTATGCTTTTTATTTATTTAACATTCTCGGCGAGATTCTCAAACAATTAAATTATATTAAAAAAAATCTGGGGTAGACATAACATTTACTTAAATAACGATGTATTTTACGATAATCGTTAAGATAATAGTTGAGTGTTGTTCGCAGGAAAGGAGTTAATATATAATTTTTGAAATCAGTTCAACGGTAGTCCTAAGCGAACTTTTAAATATTTCAGGTATACCCAATATTGAACTATACCGATGGCCATCCCTGTTCTTGGTAATACAAAAAAAGGAAAATTATTGTCATGTTTGAGACAAAATTCTAATGCCATAATCGTATGAGAATTTCGCCAGGAATGTACAGAGACGTCGTAGAGGTAACTGAATACTTACGCTCGTATCCCGCAGTCCAGGCCCAAAGAGACACCATTGCCAGCAGCCAGTGGTACAGCAGGCCTTCCACCTTCCAGTAGAGGGGGGCGAAAACGGGTCTGACGAGGCGCAGCGCCATCATCCACACCACGTAGGCGGGTATGCAGTAAATGTTGTTCAGTACCGCGAACGCGGTCCGCGCCGCGACCCTCGCGTAGCGGCTGAAACAGCAGGGCCGCTCTTTGGTGACCGTCTCGCCCCGCTGCGACCGGGCGTGCGGGCCACGAGCCCGCGGAGGCAATGGATGGGTGAGGTGACAAGAGGCGAGCGCCGCGCCCCGGGGCGAGGCGAGACGGTACCGCGTGCTCCCCGCCGTCAGCTGCCAAGCGTTGGGCTTTCGTCGGCTGTGGCCGTGGCGCTGCGCCGCCCGAATAAAAACACACGTATACATTCGACGATATTTATTAATGGAATCGTTACCGGTTCACTGTCGGTTATTTCGTTAATAAGACTGCGAGTACAAATTTAAAAACGCCCGCCGGCGAGCCGGAGTGAGCTCGCCGAGGGGCTCACATGCGTTTTCGTTTGCGACACACATTTTACACCGATCGACGTAACATTAACTCGTACGACGCGAGCACACATAGACAGACATACACAATTTAAACTTTACGATGCATACTGCGGCACGACCATGGCCGGTCGGTTTCGTCGTGTAAAACAATACAAAGTTCATTATATAAAATTAAAAAACGACATCGGACCGCTGAAATAATACAAAAATTACAATATTAAAGACTGTACACTATCTAATATATACAATGGTTGCCAGCAGAGATATGTGCGGGGGTGGCATTATGTACAGGGCGGTGGGCGTACGGCGCGACGCGGCAAAGCGACTTACACGTCATAGTTGTGCGCCATTAGGCCGTGCACCTGCTCCAGGCGGTACGCCAGCCGCTGCTTCTGCGAGAACTCGTCCTCCTCCAGTGTTACCATGAGCTGCTCGTTATATTTGACGGCGTACGCGTACAGCTCGTTGAGCGCGCAGTTCGTGTTAAATTCCTTCGTGTGCAGACGCGACTCCTCCGCCAACATGGCGTTCATGTCCTGATCCGAAATGGCCGGCATCAACTTTATGTCCGCGTAGTAGCGCTCCACCCACTCTTTGTATACGGGAATGTCTTTCGCGTACAGCAGCTTTGAGGAGGGCGAGTCCTTGCCGAGGATGTGATCGGACGTTGAACACGAGTCCATGAACGTTTGCGCGATAACAGACAGACACGAATCCACCGTGTTAGACTTGTGAACGTCGAAGACGAAATTAGGATTCTTAATTAAATTAACCCAGAAACGAAGCGGAAGAGAATTACTTTTCCAGGTGTGGACGACCTCGGGGTCGGAGATAGCGTGCTGCAGAGCTTGGTCGTCGAGGAAGTCGAACATGTACTTGATAGCGAGCGGCAGCGCCGAGCCGCGGTGTGCGGTACTGAAGATGGTCTCGAACAAGTCGTCGACAAACTTCTGTAGCGTGCCCTTGGTGGCGAGCAGACGTGTGAGATATATCTCTGATACCATCTTGTTGCCGCGCTCGCCCTCCTTATGAGCGTCGCCATCGTGATGACGGACGAGGTGCCAGTACTTAAAGCCACCGCCGTGCTCGTACTTGAGCGGGCTAGCAGGAGGGCTTGCGGAACCGTATTTACCTCTATTCAGTGTCTCATACGTATGCGACTTATCATTTTTCTCCATGTTGGACAAATTATAAACGGAGCTTTGTTTGGCCACGAGACTAAGACACGCGCAGTCCGGCACACGATAGTGATTGAGGGTGTTTAGCTTGCGCCATTCGCCTTCGCACTTAGTAGTGCTGTCCTCGTCATACAGAATCAGTCGACCGCAAGCGCCCGTGCGCCATTCCAAATCAAGCTCATCGCGGCTCGGCCTCTGTGAGTAAGGCGTCGCGCGGTAAATAGCATCGAGGCATTTCTCTTTCACTTGACTAATCGTATCGCAGTCTAGAACTTTGACTTGAACGTTTTCCGTGGTCGCTTCCAAGCCGCTCACGAATATCGTCTGTTGCGATATCGATACGCTCACGGTCATCGCTTTAAAATCTATCGATTGTCTAATAAGTTTCTCTTCGCTCAGAGAATACCGTGCTTCGGAGGTGATCGCGTCCACCGGGCCCTTGTCGACTTGACCTTTCATCGACCTAAATAGAAGGTAAAGCGGCTCGCCGGCACATTCGCGTAAGAATTTATACAAAAGGAAAGTAAACCACGCGCTGAGCATCTTTTCAGCAACACTCTCGGTACGCCTTAGTAATAGCTTAGGATGACTTTTCCCCTCCATGCACTTTTCGATTAGCTCTGCCAGCAACGTCTTTAAAACATCAGTACAATATTCCATCTTACTTTGTAAAGTTACCATAATAAGAGAAGCTACATTAACACGATCTCGCATTGAAAAATATCTATTGCTTTCTAAAGTACGAATAAATAATAATAGGAATGTTTTATGCATTATCAGTTGGCCGAACAATTTCAGACCCTTCTCTTTCCTAATAAGCTCTGGTCGTTCCCACTGCAAGACGGCGTGGTCGTCGATATTTGGGAACAAGATCTTCATCGCGTACGTGCGGTAGTCCAGGAAAGGAATGCCGCCCGTCACGTCTCCCGTTAGGTCGGTCATCTCAGTCTGAAGCTCGGCGAACGCCTCTTTACACTCGGCCGCGACTCTTAACTCTAAAATATCCATTTGCTCCTGCATATTTTTTAATACCCTAATGTTTTCAGTTGATTTACGCCTATACATAACTAGAAACACGACAAATATCAATATGAGAATGAATACACTAGCGCTAACGCCGAAGAGTATTGGCTTGCCGATGGCCGCCTGCAGGCCGGCTTGCGAATCGTATGACAGCTTGCCTATCTTGTATGTGAGCGCACGGCCCACGCGCACCACCACTTCGGGCGAGACCACGCCGTCCGGCAACTCGTCGCGCGCTGGCGGCCGGCATGTCAACTGGTGGCGTGCCAATGACGTCACATTGCACACGCTCTCCCCAATGCGTACTTCCACGTCACTTTCAGTACATGCCCTGTCCAAGTTCTGACCGTTGATAGTCAGGTATTCGGACTTGTAATACTTAACGTCCTCGTCAAATTTCTCGTAAATAGGATCCGGATAAAGAAGAAAAGCATTGCCCGTTTTACTAGTCAGGTTCTGTACGCTCTGAACGTCGTCCATGTTAAAACCGTATTCTAATTCCAGAGGCCTGTCCGGGTCTAGATTGAGCCCCGCACTCTCAATGCCTGGGGACTCGCAAATGAGATGTGTCTGAAAATCGACTCTATGACAAGGAGCTATATACGGTCGGTTGTCGTGGTAGACATATATTTGTGGGAATTGAATGGAATGGAAGTTACGACCCATCACTTTAATGTTTATCCCTCCGGATGGAATGCCTTTGGGTTGTTTGCGTTGCGACGTTAACGGCGGGCCTGACTCGACGAATTCGACCACGGGGTCCTCTATATATTCAAACTTTTCGCGTTCCAGTTTCCGCACTCCGGTGTCGAAACGCATTCGTAACGTACCCATTTTAAGTTGATAAGAATGGCTCGTGCGACATACGGCTTCCTCGTGAGAAACGGAAAGGATCGCGCACGGTAGGTCGTCGATGAAAGCTTGAATATTGTTACCGGCGTTTAGATATTCGCCAGTAATACGTAATTTTGTTCCTCCCGATTGTGGACCGTATTTCGGTTGAATGGAATTTATTTTTGGATTCACGAAAGCGTAGTGATGTTTCGATTCCCCGCGATAGTCAGCGACTCTAACGACGACGGGGCCGTCTCGCGGGACCTCCTCGCCGGGCCCGTCCACGGTACAAACTATACGCCGCGTTTTCACGTACAATTCGACTATTGGCTGACATTTGATGCCAGCTATCGTAACGCCATTGTAGATATCGGATATGTTGCGACCTAGATTTATGCCTTCGATAGTTATATTCGTGCCTCCGTCCCACGGGCCCAGTTGTGGTCTAAAAGAATGAATTTCCGGATTGGGGCACGTTTGAGTACGATTCAACCACACACTGGGGGCACCGCATTGTTCTTGTACCTCGCATCGGTCTGAACCCTGACACCAACCACAACCGAACTTCTCTGGCAGAGCCAAACAGATACCGCAATTATCCGCCATGTCGCTACAACGATATATGAGTATGTGGGTGTCGTCCGGATTATCTAGCGGTTTAGATCCACCCCATATGACGGCAAACGATGCGGTTATATTCGGAGCACGAGACGTATAAGTAAATTCTACGGGTTCGCAATAAATCGTATCAGCGAGAAGCTTGGCATTCACGTGGGTGACGCGACCCTCAATATTAAACTGGCACACAAACCTCGTCTGGACTATAAATTGACCTATTATATGAACTTTAACTTTTATTGCTTTTTTTACACCCGATGGAACGAGAATCTCATTAGTGCCATCGGAAGTGGAATTAATGGTAGGACAGAAGCTTGGGCCGGAGCGGTAGCTAGGTCCTATCCTACTGACGCCCGTGACGAGGATGTCGTTCCTACAGTTCTCGGCAGTGTCGTGCGTGCAACGGTGACCGTCGACGCACCAATCGCAAGGGAACGACGAGCTTACACACTGAGTACAAGAGCTATACGTATTACAGTCGAAGAATGTGAAATTAGTCGCAACGAAATCGGGTCCCTGTGTCGTGCGCACTGACAGCTTTGCAGTAAAGTGATGCTGACCGGAGGGTATTGGCGGCAAGGCATCGGTACGAGGAGTGGTACAATTTACCCCGTCACGTCTACGAGTAGCATTAGTTTTAAGCGTTCGATCTAAAACTGTAAATGCGCACAAGAATTGACCATTGAGAGTCGGTAGGTTTTCTATATGTAAATCTAGAGTCCTTGCAGTAGTTCGTTGCAATTGATTCGGTGTAACTTGAGTGATAGTTGTACAACGTCCACTACGATAAGATATCCAATACAGAGGATCTTTAGCCGCCTCCTGACAGTCCGATCGAAGGCTACACTTATTCTCTAAGGAACACCAACCACAGTAAGGGTCTTTGACACCGAGGCATGTTAAACATGATTTGTATACGCTACACTCTTGAACTTTCACTTTAGACACTTTGCTCTCGGTCATCACATATAAATGCATTAATTGAGTATCGAAGAATAAGTCTTTGTTGACCGGCGAACGCTCATCGATTACGATATCTCCATACTCGAACGCCGAAGTGGCGCTCTCGACGACGATCTTCTTAAGATGTCCCTCGGCCGTGCCAGCGAACACGACAGTGTAGTCACCGGTCGCTGTGGCCGCCACCGCGGTCAGCCTCTTCTCGAATTTCGCCACGGGAACCGCTTCCACTGGTTGTTCACCTCCCAAAGGCGTGTTTACATC